CAGTTTATCAACTGTATCTTGTCCAAAACTGGACACATTGCTCCCAACACAACCTCATGAGTGCCAGAGAAAAATAATTAGTATTTTCTTTGATCCTGCTGGCTATAGTTCTGTTAATACAGCCCAGAATGTGGTTGGCCACCTTTGTTGCAAGAGCACCCTGCTGACTCTTTTTCGACTCAGCCTCCACGGCTGCCAGGTATTTTTGTGCAAATCTGAGAATGGAATAAACTTCCAGAGCCTTCAAAAGTAATCCCAAGAAGAACAATTTAATGTTTCCTTCTTGTGTCTAGAATCTACACTGTGATGAATTGATACCCTCAGGTAACATTCCCATTTCACATTAGCTCCTTACTAATAGGATTGCTTCAGGGACAGAAGACAGCAGAGCAAACAGCCCCTACAGCACACTGCCAGCACAGCACAGACAGCATTGCACTGATCCATTCCGTAGGAAACTACATGGACTACAGAGACACATCACCACAGGCTGACCACACTACTGCCACAGTCCCTGCATGAATCAGCAGGGATTTGGGAGCTGTGATGAGATGGGCTGTGAGGTCTGCCTGCTCCCATTGCTATCCAGCAGATGGGATGGTCTTCTTTAAGATCATCAAGTCCAAACATCAACCCAGCACTGCCAAGGCCACCATTAAACCATGTCCCTAAGTGCCACATCTACATGGCTATTAAACACCTCCAAGGATGGTGACTCAATCACTTCCCTGGTAAGCTTGTTCCAATGCTTGACCACCCTTCTGGTGTATAAAAGTTTCCTAATATCCAATCTAAAACTCCCCTGCTGCAACTTGAGGCCATTTACTCTCATCCTCTTGCTGTTGCATGGGAGAAGCTGCTCTCAAATAATTTTTAAATCTCATTTGAAGCAGAATAGCATACCTTGAAAACATGTAAATATAGGATAGAAATCATATGATAAAAGCTAAGAGGGAAGAACAAAAAAAAAAAAATGAAGTTCCAAAAAATGTAGCAACTAAGCACCTGACCATTGTACTACAGTATCCTAGTTAAAAGCTGGAGAGGAAGCAGCAGCAGGGGAATTACTTTAATGAAGCTTAGATGGTACAATTGAGTAAACTCTGAAAAACAAATGGCTTAAAGGGAAGCATTTTTTTTTATTATTATAGTCTCTGTGGACAAGCTGATTAATCTGTGTTTTGTATTATAAATCAGAAGCAAACGAGACATTGAACAGTGCAAGCTCAGAGAAAAATAGTGATGTCCTTTTTTAGGGGTGAAATATGTAGGAAGCATAGGAGAAATCTTACTGGATCCACCAGCAGGGACAGAATGGTTCTTCAGCATCACTGCTAAGCCCCCCGCAAAAGGAAAAGAGCATGATGAGTGTCTTAAGGCAAAAACTGAGTAAGAAATAAATGTGAATGTCATAAGCACACAAGGAACATCATATAGAATGGAAAAAAAAGGATGACATCCCTGACATACTAGAAGCATGACATGTACAACATATTCTAGAAAGCTGGCTTTGTAACAGCACTCACATCTGACTTCTACTTGTCAGCTGTATGACCCATGCAAATGTCTCAATGCCCTCTACCAGGAGACTAAATTATCTGTATTCTGCTTTTAAGCCATGAGACTTGTTTTCTGGGACCTTCATTTTTTTCTCAACTAAGTGTCTGATAACACATTTATTTACTGATGAGTTTGTTCAATGGCACCTTCTAAACTTTATTAATCAAATTATTAATGTAATCACTAGAGCTGATCAAAACCCACTTATTTCCATGTAAAATAAATAGTTTATCTTCTACCTAAATTTCCCAGATTATCATTTTAACAAAACAACAGCAACAACAATACCATCAAGTCAACAAAGATGATATATGCAAGGGGAGTGGAAAGGGAGTGTTGCTTTGCTAAGAAACAAATACCTAATTGAAAAATAGCTATCTGAAATTATTGTTTAAATATGACTTTCTGACAAATTTTTAATATAATTATAAACTACTAGTGCTAGAAAAGTGCTGTTACTAAAACAGGCAGATCAAGGGGCTTCCTTTCAAAAACTAATCCAACAAGGAGTTCAGACTTCAAAGGACTGCTTGACCTTGGGGTGGGAAGATAGAAAATAAAGGAATTTGTTCAAGGGAGCCTATAAGGTAGCAGAAAACTAATAATGAGATTACTGATAATTACACTCCCAGAATAAGAAGTGGAGTTAGAGGTAGGTGGAAGAGCAAAATGGATATGAAAGTCTGAACATGCCACACTGGTGGGAAGTCTGGCAATACTAATGGGTTTCCAATTCTGCTTATACCTTCCCACAATCCTGATGTTTTCTTTACCAGCTTCAGCGAACAACTTTTTCCAAATTATAAGTATATTTAGCTGTTGGATTTGTGCTTACCTACACGATTATTTTGCCTGAACTCTGCACTGAAACTCAAGGTGCTACTGCATCTGACAAGCCTCCACCTCTACCTCTTCTGAGAGTTTCTAGGCAAGAATGGCAGTACCTGGGATTACTGGGACACCAATACACTATGGCAAAGAAAAAAATACTCCAGCGCAATTACTGAGAAGAGAATCTTGTCCTAGAGGTGGCTTTTGGTGCCTACACTACACAGTGCTCTCTGACAAGTCAAGGAACCAAAAACAGAGAAACAGCCCAGGAAGATGCCCTCAGAACAGCAGTAAAGCAGTAGAACAACTGTTACTGATGCTGACATTTTAACCAAGATATTCTCAATCCCAACTCTCCAGTCAGTCCTAGAACGGGCCAGATACTCTCAGCACCCCATCTCTGTGACCTGGAAGAAGTGAAGATATCTGAAATTATTAACACTAAGCATGAAAGATTCCTTAGGTTTTGAGACCACACCACTGCTCTAAAGTGCTGATACCTTAAGATGATGCATCTCACAAAGACAGAGAAAAGCTGTAGAACCATTCTTTTGGGGAAACTAGAAACATGAATTATCAACCAGTATTTTATCTATTTGTTGTAGTGTTAGGATGGAATATGATAGTCTTTCAGGAATCATCAGTCCCAAGGAGTTGTCTTTCTTGGTCAATATGGGCATTGCACTTCCCTTTATTTTGTTGCGGCCTTGCCTAAGACTCAAGATACTGTTCAAAATCAACAAATACAAATGTTATATTCATAATGTATCTGAGTCATATATACATATATAATATATACATATATGTATATATCTGTGTATGTATGTATATATGTATTATAATTAGTCTGAGTACCCTAATATGACAAACCGGGGATAACATCTACAAAATGGGAATAGTCTAAGGTTGAAGTTTCAAATGCTACTTAACTAAAAACTCAGCCAACCTTAGAGTGACTCTAGACATAAGGAAAATGAGTGTACAGGAGATGCAAAACTGCACAGAAACCACTTCAAGCAGATTAGAGAGATCTTTATAGAACGAGACCATTTGAAATACTGTTTAATTTGATAATTTTAATTCTGTAGCTCAGATAAGATCCTCTAATAAATTCAATTTTGCAGATTTCAAATCATTAACAAAAGATTTCCTCCTTACAACAGAGTACTGTGTGTTAATTGCAAATCAAAGGTAATGTGAAGGACAAAATAGATTCCCTAGTTTGCTTCTTTTTTTCTGTCTCATCCACAAGCAAATCTATATATATAACCAATAAGCTTCTGACAAATGTGTATGTGGGATAGTGTTCTCTTTGACAGCATGGGACACTATATCCTTTTATATTTGCATTTTACTGGCCCAGAAAGTAGATGGGGACAGTAGGGGGCATAACAAAGCAGGACTAAATTGTGATAATTGTGATATTTTAAGCAATTTCTCAGCAAATTAAAATGATATTTTGAACAAAGTGAAATTTGTGGGCTTGAATCACATAGAGTTGAGTAGAAATACGGATTTCTACCATTTTGAAGCACAATGGGTGCCAATTCACTACTGCTGTCAAAGACTTACCCTACAAAGACTGAAACAGAAGGAAATAGAAGAATCACAGGAGATCCTACCACTAGAATGTTTTGCCCTCTAGTTTGCTTTGAATGTCTTTTCATAGTATCATCCTGAAAAGCTTAAAATTCAAGGAGGCAATGTGACTGCCATTAACTTTTCAAGTTGCACAAAGTAAACAGTCGCATTTAAAAGTGAACTCTGCACACATTGAAAGGCTAATTGTTTAAGTTTTCTAACTCCAGGATAGCCATCTATTATTTAAAATTTTACCTGTTCTTATTTAAAAATTCATCTGTTGTAAAAGTCATTATTAGTTCTGGTTTTCTGTAACACAAAGTTTAGCAACAGCAAATAATTCACATTGGATGAAATATCCAAGCACTTTTGGAGTTTGAAAGATTTATATTCTTGGCATTCTAGATCAGCATTATAAAATAGTCCTTGTTTCATAACAAGGGTCTAATCTTAGCACACTGTTAATCCTAAATCTCACTTTGTCCAAACAACAGAACTGTTGTTTCTACAACTCCAATACAGCTTGCTTCTTGATTTGAATAGCCAGTAATGTTAAAATTTATATTGCCTTTTGTAAAAAAATGGTATGATCTTTCATTAAAATATACCATTTTGATGAATGACTTTAAAGTTTAAGCAGATGACAGAAAACAAACACGTATTCCAGCAAGGGATAGATGGTGCTGTCAAGAGTAACATTTTCCAGTTACAGCCATTTTGACCATCCAGAACAAAATGAACCTTGAATCCAGATAAACTTTAAAACTTAAAGTAAGATTTGGTCACTGAGCACAAAAAATTACAGAAAACTGAAATGGCTACTGGGAATCTCTTAATCTGGAAATTAATTAGAGAATAATGTAATTTCTTTCTTGCAATTACCAAAGTTAATGTTGCTAATTATAGGAACTGGAAATAAACATTTAACTAACACTCACAGCCAGTTCATTAAATCTTTGGTGATATAAATATAGTTAGCATTTACATGGTCATTGCCAAGGTTTATCCTATTTTAGTGAGGCCAAGAGTGTAGAGTGATGATTCACATTTTTAATTATTCATTATTCACCTGATGTCCTCAGATTCAGACCCAACCACCATATAAACATACACTGGTATGTTTCAAACTTGCTCTTATTACATATTCTTAGCAACTTAAAACCAGAACAAATTCACTCAAGTGCATATTTACACTATGACTGAATGTGTTTTAACAGAGTACTTCATTTTGATCCACTGCTATGTGTCACATAAAGCAACAAGGGTAAAATCAGAAATAATTTCAGTCACCAGTGGAGTAAGACTAGAGCAATGTCATATTCTTGTAAATTTTCAGAGCCTATTAAATAAAGAAAATCTTTTTATAAACCCAGTGCAATTCCATGTCCCTCTCTTACACTCTCCACAATGCCTGTTTTATTGCATCTATAATGGATCTTTTGAATAATAATTTTTAAAACCCACAACATGCTTCCATCTATACATTTCAATGTACACTTCATTTCACTTGCATGTAGTTGCACCTTGTGTCAACATTCAGCAATGCAAATTCTCTGAGTTGATACAGTGACCTGTTTTGCTCTTAGCAGCTGCTAAACTTTATTTCTCAAGTACCATTTACCATACAAACTATACTTTTTGGCCATTGTTAAAATTGTACAACATCATCTTGACTTCCAGAAAATAACAGGAGTTCCACTACTGCATAACTAAAAAATATACAGGGATATTTACAAGCAAAAATTTAAAAATACATTTTGTAGAATAATAAACATCAGCCCTCAAATATTGCTCAAAAGCACTGTTTTGCCTATAAAGAGAGATTCCTAACATATTTCCAGGGCTCATCTATGCAGATGAATACCCAAATTACTGTGAAGACTGGTCACACTACACTGTTAACTGGAACATGATTATCATAGCTAAATAGCCACCTAATACATGAAAAAATCCTTTCCCCCAAAGTTGCTCTACTCCTCCCATGAAGCTACCAGTCATCTTCTTTACTCATTTGACCATTCTCCACAGCTTTGCAAGTCACATTCCTAAGAGATGCCACGTTCTGGAGTTCCTTTGTGGTTCTTTGATTCTATTATGAAATAATTCCTTCCCTGTCTTGCTGGTTAAGGTGGGTATGTCTTTGTGCTGCGAGGTAGAGAAATATGTAGAAGTAGAGACCACAGGTTTTAAGGAAGTGGAAAGAAGCCGGAGTTAAGCTTTGAAAGTTCAGGACTCTCTGAAGTGCGTGGCTTGCTTTTCTTCAAACTCCAAATGCAAACCCAGATCTGTTGCAAAAAAAGCAAAACCATAAATCTACAGACCCTTGTAGATTTATATTGCTGTGTGACCTGAATACACCCAGGGCTACACAGCAAGTCTTGGGGATTCTCCATTTACTCTTAGGTTGTATACAGATCTGGCTTCAAAAATGCAAGTGGGGGCACACTTCAGAGACAGATCCTTTGAGAGAGGAAAAATGTCAGAGTCTGAGGGCTGTTCTTCAGAAACCCTTCTATAAAACAGTCAGCCTGCTCCATTCATCCTGATATTAACAGTAAAAGTCCAAAGCAAACTTCTGAAGGGCAATGAACTTTCCCTCCTCTTGTCATCCCTCATCACATCTGATTGTACAGCTTTTGCCATCTTCTTGTACGACAGGGTTTTAGGTCTTTTCAGCTCTGCAAAAATACATATAACCAACCACACACTGGCTAAGAGGACAGGCATATCCTGAAGGAGGGAGTAACACTTAGAGCTGCAGCTCCACCTTAAGACAGAAATCGGCATTGGAAACACCAAAGCGGGAAAAGCACCCGTAGCAGCTGGACAGCTTGAATACACTCACACCGAAGGGAGGGTATCTGCGGCAATGGGATGCACGATGCTGGACAGTCCCTCAAGCAGCGCCCCGTGTCAGCGGCTGGCATGGCTGGCTGGATGCCCCTGGACCAGGCCTGCCCCTCATGCACTCCAGCAGTTTTCCAGTAACACCATTTTCCAGTCTCAGAAGAATACTCACACGCTGTAATGTCAAGAGACACCTCTCTTACTCTCCTAGACCCTCTAATCTTTCCTGGTCCATATTTAGGTACCTTGGTGTTTACATCACCCAGAAAACCGGTCAGCCTTGCCTCACATGTCCCTGCCGCCTCAGAGAGCCATGTCCGTCCATGCTGCCATCGCTCCCTGCCGAAGTGGTTCAGAGGCTCCAGCGGGGACCTGCTGCCCGGCAGGACACACGGGCAGGCCGGGAGGCACCTTCCCTTCTGAGGGACTTGAGATGCTCATAGCACACCTAACACAGGCTCCAGAGGAATGGATCCCGGACAAGGTCGCTCGAGTGGAAATGGTGAATCTGAAGGACGGATATTCCCAGTGGGGTGTACTCAGTTATGTGGGAAAGAAGAGAGCTGGCGGGGACAAGGGGCAGCAGCGGGGGGACCTCAGGGAGGGGTGGTGGTGCCCAGCAGGTGTGCAGGGACGCGGGCAGCCAGCAGGCAAGCCAGCACAATACCGACGAGCTGCAGCAGTGCCAGCCCCAGGGCAGCGGTGGCAACAGAGAACATGTTGCTGCCGACGAAGGCGGACACCGTGCCGAAGCAGCCGGCGTGGTGCAGCCAGCCCGCGTCGGGCGGGCTGCGCCGGCAGCCGCGGCGGGCCCGGCAGCAGCTGAGGGGCACCGAGCCGTTCTGCTGCCGCCCCCAGGGCGAGGCCAGCCAGTCGCGGTAGCTCTGCACCCCGCAGCACGACAAGGTGCGCTGCAGCGCGTCCAGGGCGTCCGCCACGCCGTCGTCCTCCCCGTAGGCCAGCAGCGCCTGGCGCAGCCCCGCCTGGAAGCCCTGCACCAGGGTCCGGCGGTACAGCAGCGCCGAGAGCCCGGCCGCCAGCCCGGCCGCCAGCACGGCGGCCAGGAAGGCGCTGTAGGCGCGCAGGAGTCCCCGGTGCTCCGTAGCGGCCCCGAAGCATCCCAGGAAGCCCCAGATGATGACAGCGACGCCGGTGGCCAAGAGGATGGCGGGGGCGCTGGGGTAGCCGCTGGCCGACAGCGCCAAGTAACTGCCCAGAGACACCTTGGCCCAGAGGCCGATGATGAGCATGGTCAGCCCCGCCGCCCAGAAGATGAAGCTGAAGGCCATGAGGGACAGCTTGAGCAGGGTCATGGTGCCCTCGGGCCCTGCTGTCGTGGGGAGGGCGGTCACGGTGAGGGTCTCCCGCGGCCGTCGGTGCCGCCGGGCGGTGCGGAGCACGGGCGCCTCGGCGCTGTCGGAGGTGCCCTCCGAGCAGCCGTCGGTGCGGCCCAGTGAACCATCCCCGCGGCAACCGGGGAAAGTCCCGCCGCTCCTCCGCCCGTCCCCCTTTTGAGGGCGCGGCCCGGGGCGGGCGGGCGGTGCCTGGGCGCGCTGCGGGGCCCGGCGGGGGGAGCGACCTGCCCGGAGCGAGGAGTGCCCGGAGCGAGGAGTGCCCCGAGCCAGCAGCTGCCCGGCCGCCGGCCCCGGGCTCCCCTCGCGTCTCCCCTCGCGAACTGCGTGCCCACAGCACTGCGGACCCTGTGCCGAAAACATTCTGTAACAGGAAAGCTCGCTATTAAACTTTAATGGGATATGCTGCAGCCCAGGTTTACCCTGGGCGAGGGACTAAATTTTTATAAGCACTAGGAGTAATACTTAAAAGAGCACACAGAAAACGCACAGGAAGCATAACGAGAGGTTTTCTTTTACTGCATCAATCTGTACTATTAGGACCCTTTGTAGAAATGAGCATAAATCTGTACCTGAATATTAACTAACCACACATTCAGTCAGTCACTCAGTTTAGATTTTCCCAGTTGGAAACTATTTTCAGTGTGGCCTGGCCCTGTTAAATATTCATTTGAATTTAGCCCATGATAACACTGAACCGCTGAGAAGGCATTAAACCGTGGCAAGGTACTGTTATGTAACTAGTGGCCCAGTAAACTGCAAGAAGAGATTCCATCATCAAAGTAGTCTCATTGCAAAAGAGCAAAAGAGCTACTCCTGCAAGTCAGGTTTTAAAAAAAAAATAGTAGGAAACTGTAAATGAGACAATGTCTCAGTCATTAGAATTATCATCTCCAGGGCTTTAGTTTGTATGTGCAACAGTCACACAAAAAAAACAGGCCATAGTACCCTGTGGTTCACATCTTTATCAAACCCTTTTGGGACTGAATTCTGATGTTTACTTCTGTTTCAGTGGTAACATTTTCTTGATTTCTTTCTGTTACAGATTTAGGGAGGGAAAGGTGGTGCTTTTTGTGTCACATTTTAATGCACAGGTTTAATGTGCAACCAGAAATTCATAGTTGTCAAACCATTATATAGCATAATCATAACTGAAAAATCAGTTGTTCTTTCTTAGAGGCCTTGAATTCTGTCCATTCTCATAATCCATGCTCCTGGAACTGTTTAGGTAAATAGAGGAAGTAGGATTGGACTTCTTGAGCTTATGTGAAGTCATAAATCATGAAAGAGCTTCAGTGTCTGAAAAATAAACTTACTAGAATAGCTTGATTTTTAGACATTGGCCAAATCATAAATTATATTTACATCTTAGTAAGAAAACAGTTAAAGAATCTCATGAAATCATACAAGTGAATAATTTTTTATTATATTACATGTGATATGTGGACTGACAATGTGATGAAAGAGATGTTCCATTCCATATTATCTTGGAAAGCAAAGTGTTGTGGAAATACCACAAGAAGGGAGGATTCAGATGTGCCTAACCCACTAAGTCAGAACAGCAATATCAATTATCAAAGAGTGGTTACAAACTTGGATAGGAAATACACTGAGATTGACCCTGAAACATGCAAACTAATATATCCTAGACAAAACTGGTGCTTAGTGACAGCAAGAACCCGTCTGCCAAACTGTGCATCTGAAGGCCATGTGGGTGATGGGAGATACCTAATTAGGCAGCACTCTGCAATACTATTTGGCAAGGAAAAGGCATCTGCTTGAAGCATGAATTTTCCTGTTTCCTTACTCTTTTGGTCTGGTAATATCTTAAGTGTTACATCTTCCTGGCAGATGCATGATGATTTTGATTTAAAGTGATCATCTTGACTTCCTGTGATTTTTTTTTTTTTTTTATGTTGGAGTTTACACTTGAAATTCTGAAGTGACTATTTCCCATCACTCTGTAACAGAGGGGAAGAACAATGTAGGGATTCTTCATGGCTTTTCAAAGAATCTGAGTCTTTTTGTGGTTCTCAGTTCATGACTATTTAAGGTATCCCTGGCTAGAACAACGAGTGGCAGCACTGCACAGAGAGCCAGATCAGGTAGTTAGGAGCTCTACCAGAAAAATATGGGTATCACGAGTAGCTTTAAAAAGTATTGGTTTAATGTTCTCAAGTGTATTTTCCTTAGACACCTTAATGAGATTTTCGTGTCATGATTTACAGAGAGGTAGTATAGCTGATAAAGTACATGCATATTTACCTTGGGGAAAACTAGAAGTCCTGTGATACCAACATAGTGTTCTGCTGGTGTTATACTAGTGTACCTTTGATGTTGTAACTATTCATTATTGGTAGTTTATTATCTGGCAACATGCTTAAGAGCTCTTCCCATGGACAAGATGCCTACAGGACAGGTTCCCTGTAAATACAAAAGTGTCTCCTACAGTAAAGTCTGATATGGCAATGCTTCATCATGCTGAGTGATTCCTTACACCATAAATTCAAGTCCATTGAGTTCAATAGAACTGTTACTAGGAAAAGCAGTGTTTCAGTGTAAGATAATTCCAATTGAAATTATTTTTATCTAAAACTGAAAGTTATCTTTATTTTAAATAGAATCAGATGAAACAGAAGTCATAATTTTATAGAGTCCCAGGGCTGTGCAGCATGGATGTGGTGCAAGTCCAGATTGAATAGGAAAATATGAACTTGGGGAAAGAGAATTTCCCCTTAATCTTTCCATTCATTCTGGGAAGAAAATTTGTGAACATTTCACAACAGAACTCACTTCCAGTTGCAGGTCCCTTCAGAAAAAAATTAATAGATCATGAAACTCCACATATTATTTACCTCATCCCAAACCTTTGGTCCAGAATGAAATACTGGATAAACTGCTTCTGCTCATCAGCAGACCCAGAGATGCAGCCTGGTTAGAGGCATCCAGGTGGGGTTCCTACCAGCTTGCACAGCTGAGCAGATGTCTCCACCTGCAGCAACTATGATTCTAAGGAAGAACTCAACCTGCTGATCCTTGGAATGTACTAATGTACTTAGTTAACTAACTGTACTATAAATATAAATATAGTTTATAAATAGCACAAGTGCTATTTTTTTTTCACAGCAAGTTTATTTTAGGAACTCAAGTGTATAATCTCTGCTATATATCAGTTACTATGCTATTAATAGCAATGATCAGAGATGCTTTGAATTAATGATTTACTTCTAATGTGTTTTTTAACCTTAAAATAAAGCACAAAATTTAATTTTAGCTGTAACTTCACTTTAACTAGAGGAAAATATGATCCATGCCTTGGGCAAGTATCTCAAGGAAAAATTCAATGCACTTTCCACTTACCCCACAGAAAATTATTATATACTGGACATCAGATACATTTCAACACTGGTATATCCAAATAGCATGCAGGCTAGGTTGGTGGTAACGTATCAAAATACCATGTCAAAGGAATTTTAAAAAAGTAGATCTTTAAACTTTTCAGGGAGCAATGGGAGAACAAGATAATATTAAACATTGGCAAATTTTACACTTGATTTTAAAATATTTTAACATTTCCACTTGTTGTATTAGGAGCTGAGGGTATTAAGCATTTCACATATGGGATCTGTGTCATGTGCAGAGTGAGAGCAGTTTAGTGTACTTGGCAAGTCATCATATAACACTTACCTACACTTACCAATACAGATTTTCATACTTGAGATTTCCAAGATCTGCAGCAACAAAAATTGCTTCAATTTCTCACTTGGTTGGTATAATTTTCTATCACCTTTGCTGGGTTCGAAAGTTAATGACCTTATTTCTTTATAGCCCCTTTCCATGTCTTATCTTAAACAAATGCCATGCTACTAATTGTGGAGTAGCCCATCCAAAACAGAGTAAATTAGGAGTCACATTGCATAGCACAACCACTCCTCCGTTTAATTTCATCACAACAGTGGAGGCTCCAAGTTCACAAATGCTGATTCAAGGGAGAAGACTGCTCCTCTCTGGATGCATAAAACAGACCCGATGCACCATGTAATTTTATTTTGTTATGTAATCAACAGACAGTAGACTTTTTAGTGATATTGTAAATGTAGCTTTATGGAATGAACATCTGTCATTGCTGATTATATAAAAAAGATAATGCACACAACGTGATGTATAAAGGTGATCTAAATGTTGCCTGTAACATGCTTTTATCAAAACATATCTATCAGTACTCTCCTGCTTCCTACTGGTGCTTGGCACAAGGTTAGTGGGGAAAAAGAATATTTGTTTACAAGCAAGGTTCATGCTTTCTGTGTCCCAGGGTGAGAGATTGGGAAATCTCATGGATAATTGCACAGCTGAATCATTTAGCAGAAAACAGGTCCAGTGCAAAGGTAGGTGTTCCACGTGTACCAGCTGATTCCCATCTGCACACGTATCTTCTTTGTCTCTGCTGTACTTCTGTGTTTTGGCAGATCTTGCCATCACAGGAGAGGACAAGGTGACCACACACACTGTGTATGGGCTGGTGAAAGAGCACCACTCTTACCCTGGGGTCACTCAGACCCATGTCCTTGCTGAGGTGAATGGTCACAGCTTTTCTGTAACCCAATGGAGTACAACAGCAGAGGTTTTTCCAAGCCTTGGGGCCTTGATCCGTGTTCTTTTACAGCTTCCTTGAATTGCTCACATGAAGTATACTGTCCTCAAGCAAGCATTGCTCTTGCCTGCTGTAAAGGTCAGGAAAGGCTTATTCGAAGGAAACAGCCTGCATGCAAACAACACCTCACACTGGCATCATTGCTTTAATCAGGACAATAATTTGCCAGCCTGCCTGTCCTCTCTGATACTCAGATATTAAGAATCTTGTTTTCACTCTCTTATGATGATAAAACCTTAAATATTTTTGCAATTTTTTATTAAAAATGCCTGTTACATTATTCATTCTATAGCTTGTCTTTAGACAATAGAGCACTAATCAGCACAGTAGAAACAGGAAAATTACAATTAGAGTTTATAGTCCTATAGGAAGGATTAGAAAGGATTGCTGAAAACTTTCTTCTTTTATTTTTGTGAGACATTTTTCATATACTTTTAAAGTTATTGATCTTTAAGGGATCCATGAGGGAAACATCTTGCTTAACTAACTTAACTTTCCTTTAAGACAAAGTCACCCATCTAGTTGACCAAGGGAAGACAGTAG